CATTAAACAAGATATGAATAAGGAAATAATACAACTAAATGTACGCGACGTTAATCTAAAAAATTTTTGCATAACAAGTATATAAATACTTCTGTCAGTGCTGTGGTGTTTTTTCTTTTTTACTATTGTCGTCGTTTCAAATATTACTGCTTTGCACGTTTTGTATTTATTGATATTTTTAAATCTATTATTATGTATGTAAGTTCGTGAAGTAGAACATATTATAAGGAAATATCTAAACTAAAGTTACGTGAAAATAAATCCTAGGAAGTAGTATGAAACTGAGGACGTAATAGCCTTGGTGAATTATACGCTCACGTATCGACACGCTTTCTGGCCGATTTTGCCATAATTCTCGTATTCGTGCATCGAATAATAGAAATTTCAATTTCATATTCAACATCGCGAATTTATGTATTACACTGTAAGCCTCTGATACGCAATTACTGAAACGGCATAGGTATATCATATTCGATTGTAAAACACGTATTGCTAATTAACACTTTGTCTGCCACGTTGACCGGTACATGACCAGCCACGGTTTCTCCTATGACACCACGGTGGTCATTGATGACCGGAGCGCTTCAATTTCTTACAATTGTAAAAATTGAATGAAAATTGAATTGGGGAAGAATGTCGTCTTACATCTATAGGATCTTACTACGATTAATTTATTTAAAATGGATTAAACAGGCGTTGGTTAAACAGGAAACGATGGTTGTTTAACGTCAACTAAATACAATAACGTACTATAATTAAGACAACTAAATAGTAAATTTACAACTCTCGTCACCACGGTTCCAACGCTCTCTCTCACGCGGACCACACTCTCTCGACAACGCAATTCGCACTTCCTGACGTCTCGATTAACACTCCCTGACTTCTCAACTAACACTGACTGTTAATTCGTCTTTCTCCCTTAGCATCCCTTGGTCTCTTGTCTTAGCCCCACCACGCACGTGTTCCGCAACCGCTCGTGGCCAAGGTCACGCAGGCCTTTCCCGCGTAACTATTCACCTTTCTCGTGACATTGTTTATATCTCCTAGACCTTCCGTTCACGATACTACACATCATCAATTTATTATTATTTTGCCATTATATGCTTTGAATAATAAAAATACTCCCGTGGCGTCCTGAATGAAACATGTGACTTCGGCGCAGCAGTTAAGTGTTAAGGTCGTAATCGTCAACTAAATCCCGTTCAAATTATAAATTTTTTAGTTTTCTCGTTTCGGAAGTATAGCCTTTCTAATTGAGTTGTAACAATTTAAAGAATATTCCTGAAAATGGAGCAAATATTTGATCTGCTTTTATGACTAACTCAATTATATTGGAGCAATTTGACAAGTGGTTAAATGAAAACTATGAAGTCGGTAAAGTTTGAACGAATTATTCATCGAGAAAATCTGAATAATATGTTTCATTTCGTTTCCGATTTAAGACAAATTGATCCAACCGTTCAACCCGTGCAATTGACTCGATTTAACGAGATATCGCCGAATCGTTTCTTTCCCCGTAGTCTTTAAATGTACATACATATATAGTGGAAGATACTGTTACGATGTTTATTAATAGCTAATTTAAAATAGTCTGCTGTTTCCATAAAGAGGTAATAAATGCTGCATCTAATTAATAATTGTATGCTTTTGGTCTGATTCAAATATTTTTAATGCAAATCAACTAATCGACTAATATACTTCCATACGGTTGCGTATATAGCAAAAATTGCTCGCTGGATATGTAAACTCGCGTAACTTTCGTTGCGAAACGTTGAAATCCTGGTGAAACGTCACCGTGTTTTGTCAAACTTTTTCACCTTCTCTTTCACTCTCGAAAAACAACGGAACGATCCAATTCGCTGAGATTTCTCTTTGAGATTATTTGAGGAACACGATTCGTAACTGCGCAAGGTCAAGCTGGATATCGGAAATTCAATGGAGTGAACAATTAATCCTCGGCGATGGAAGAACAAGGAATCGTAAATCTCGAAAACCTGCAATTTCTCCATTCTTTCAAATATTTCTCTCGTCGTCAGTTGAATCTCACATATCTTCTTTGACACGTAAGTTCTTAATATTCGTTCCTTTCGCCTTTTTTTTTGCAACGTAAATTCCCTACGTCGCTGAAATAAGCGAGGCAAAGTTCGCATAAAACGAGAAAATGGAGGACTCCGACAGCTTATCAAAAAAATTGATATTTATGAGACAGGTTTTTCTTTTTCTGCAAGAGTAAACACCTTTCTTTGGCAGCCAAACAAAAAAAGAGGGAAGGTTTAACGAGGTTTAACAGAATTTTAACGTGTTAAGCAAGAAAGATCAGTCACCTCGTCACACGAATTGATAATCTCTTAGGCATAATAATATTTTTACTCGGATGTTTTTCGCTCGTCGTGCGTCGTTTCGTTTCTGTTAATTCTTTAACGCTCAAACCGCATAATCGTTATATAAAAAATATAAAATCCATAAATACGTTGTATTTTGTTGGTTTGAGATCAAAGAGACCAATGAACCGATCGCAACAGGTACTTTCATTTAGAAATTATTTCTATGTATGATGTTTCAAACAACTTTACAACATATCTATACGCTTAATTTAATTTCCAACTGAATATTATAGCAAAGATTTTAAGGAAATAGATACCTTGCTCTATTTTTTCAACGATTCGATATGGATGAAAAATGTTTCACGAATTAAAACGTAAAGATCTACTTCGTCGGAAGTGAAACAGCTGAATTTTGCCAGAAGAAGCTAGTTTTTAAAGACGGATCATATCGTATGTAAATTTGCAAGACCTAAAGCCGACTCAACTAAAGTTGTTCCGACTTTATTAGCTATTAATTTCGTGATTGGAGAAATTTCCAAACAAGAAACGATCCGGTTAACAGGTTAATCAAATAAAGCGTAAAGAGTAATAGTCGTTACGTACACGTTCGATGGGAACGCAAACGAACTAGAAAATGTGAAAAAGCTAACAAACAGATAAAGACGTAATTCCGACAAGAGCCTCTCTAATTATCTCCGCGACAGATATAACGTAATTAATATAAATAGAAGTCGGTTTAAGTGCAAGCTCTGCTGCGTTACGTTAAAAGTATCTGAATACGATCTGGAGTGTCGCGAAGGCAATTTTGTTTCACGTATAAAGTAAACGTGAGTAACAATTTGCTTTGGTGATGGCGTCTACCTTTTTAATTAAGTAATAAGCCTAAAAAAGGGCGAGAGCAGTCTATCACCGCAATGAAATGTTTCCCTTTGCATATGCATGCGTTACACTACGTCCAGAAAATCAATGCACCTGCATACAAGCGGTGCGGAGGTTTTTTCCAACAGGACAGGGAAGAAAAAATACGAGCGCCTTAAAAGCGAGGGCGGACCACGGGAATTTCTAGTATAGCGGTTAAATACCGCTCGGTCGACATCAAAGAAAAGGAAAAATCGAGTGGCGTTAGCGTTAAGAATCATTGCTGTATGGAGATTACAGGGGAACGGTACATGTAACAAGTACAATTCCGTTGATTGTCCGATTTTGTTGTTGTCTGGTGTTGTTTGGTGGTTATAACAGCGTACTTTAATATAACGCGATTAAAAAAAAGATATTCGATCCAAAAATATGAACCTTCCAGCAACAGATGACAAATTCACGAAGTTTCACGGAGAAACTAACAGCGTTCCTAATATTTAAAATGTAACAAAAGATATTTTTCAAAATACCCGCATAACGAAATTTAATAAACAGTTTTGGTAATATATCATTGGTTTGACAAGGTGATGGATTTAAAAATGTTCTCGCGTGAAAAATGTAACTTATCGTATCTTTTCCCCGTGATCATCAATATGAAATAAAACGCCGGTTTTATCCGTAAAAGGTATTAAATATTAGCCTCAAACATTAAATATGATGCTGTTGTAGTATTACATATCGTAATGTCGAAGAAACTACCGTAATATCGTACATCATAATGTTAGAGATCTAATCCATTGATTACCTATTTGATATTAAATACGCCTTATGAATACTAATTGACAATTGACGATGACTTTATTTAAGGAAAGAATTACAAAAACCGGTATGAAAGTTCGAATAGAAAAGAAACATAAAACCCGAAGATGGAGAAAGTCGAATTCAAATGTCGAATTTCGCCTAAACAAACACGCGGTCAAAATATTTACGTGGTAGAAAATGAGAGGAATGATCGGAGTATAGCTCATTAACGTATGTTAATAAGAAGAAAGTGAACTTCTAGAAATGTTACCGACAGACTATTCATAGAGACATATACCTACGTAGTAGAGGCTTTACCCTGACACCCTTCATCTCACGATATTTTTATGTGTCTTCGAGATGGGATAGGACGGCTTGACAGACAACGCGTTCAAGCAGAAGTAAAGAGCCTGTAAACCCAACGTCATCTTGATCCGTCTGTAGTATCGATTTTCCGTGAATACGAATCTCGAAAGTATTCCCGGTGTATCTACAGCTTTGGCGTGAAATATCGGGAAAATATAAAGAGAAAATAGAAGTAGCGGCGCGGCGTGTACGTGCGCGCCACAGTATGCCATTTTCAGTCAGAAACCCGTGCTACATTTTTAGACGGGCAAGAGACTTTCTATCCCAGCGTATATGAAGAAAAAGATGTGAGGGTAAGAAGTAGTAAGAAAATAGGGAAGAACTGCTTTTACGCCTTCCATATAATTCTCCAAGGAAATATTTTTTACCTATTAACATTATACATGGTGTAATTCAACCGCAGAATTTAACCAAACCTCGTCATATTCTATGTGTGTACTCATCTGCTGAATAATCTTAAGACAGTTACTATTCTTAAGAACTGGAAGAAGTTTAGCGATCGTTAAAAGACAAAGTTTGGCTGTTAGGTCGTGAAACTGTCTGCATATACATTAAAATTGAAAAGAATAGTTTTGTACATCGTTATAATTTACAAATTATAACGCACTGCAAGATTTAATGTACATGGAAAATGTGTTTGCCTGTTTACAGAACAACCTGACAGACGGGGAAGAAGATCTGCCTGAAGACAGTTTCTCGCTGTTGTCGGTGCTTCTAGTTGGTTCGCTAAACTTCCCATTTGATCGATCGCGACTCGCCCCTCGAAGACAACCCTCTGGGAGGCCCTTCACTCGAAAACTTTGATCTAAGCTCGCTAGATGTATCCCTTTCCTGTTTCATCCTCTGTTCCATCTCTTACTGCCTTCTGTTCCGTTGTTTCTTCACGCCTTTCGTATTTTCTCCCGCGTCGATTACAATTTGTTTATTTTTTTATCTTTCTCGCTTACTTTTCGCAAAAATGAAATATCATCGGATCGTTTCTATATCAAGCATTTATGAATCTCCCTTTTGTTGCTTTTGTATGGTAAAAAAAAAGCGTCCGATACCATCATACATTCGATGCACCTCGACTCAGCTCTTCGAGGGGTGAGTGATACTGTTCGAGCAAACACCATCGATTCTCCGCTAGTCCAGTTTCTTCGACCCATTCTTTCAGGATTTCTCTTTCTGGTCTTGATATTCTTATCCGTGGCGGGCAACATTTTAGTCTGCGTGGCAATTTACACGGACCGCGGTTTACGGAGAATAGGAAATTTATTCCTGGCCTCCCTCGCTATCGCCGACCTGTTTGTCGGTTGTCTGGTTATGACATTTGCCGGGGTGAATGATCTTCTCGGCTATTGGGTATTTGGACCGCGATTCTGCGACACCTGGATCGCTTTTGACGTTATGTGCAGCACTGCCTCTATTCTGAATCTTTGCGCAATCTCTCTCGATCGTTACATACACATAAAGGATCCGCTTAGGTAAATATTCTTTGTTATGTTTAACCGTTTAGATATTGTATCTCTCCTTGATAATTTAAATAACGTACACTTACCGTTTCGCGGTCAGATACGGTCGTTGGGTGACAAGAAGAGTCGCGGTTGCTGGAATCGCTATCGTATGGTTGCTCGCAGGACTCATATCCTTCGTGCCAATCAGCCTAGGCCTTCACCGAGCAGATGAGCCCGTAATGTATGACGATGGTAAAGAGGTACGTACGATAAATGTTTGGTTATCGCATGAATTCTGTCTGCTTCTTGATTCGTATCAGTAAGCCATTAATTTTACAAGTAAGTAACAGTGCTATGTATAGTAAATCGATTGAGATAGTATCTCACAGTCTAAACAGTCTGGAATTTCTAGAATTTACAGAAAGTAGCTTATCGAAATTTCCTATTTTTTACAGTTATTGAGAAGCAAGACAGTTCAGTAATTTATTTTTTGCTCGTTAAAAATCTATATATCTGGTATGATGTATAAAAAAGGATGATCCTTTGTTTAAATAACTGCGCGCCTACTCTTCGATCGTTTTATCTTTCAGGAACATCCTACGTGCGCCTTAGACCTTACACTCACCTACGCGATAGTTTCCTCTTCTATATCTTTTTACGTGCCCTGCATCGTAATGCTGGGGATTTATTGCAGGTAAGCTCGAAATAATTTTGAGAAAATTTACTTGTACAATTAGACAAATGACGATCAGAGGGAAAAGACGTGATATCTTCTGAGTTTTAAAAATAACTATTGAAATATGAAAAAAAATGTTTGCCTCCAAAATACAATAAAAAGGCGATTTCAGTAACATAAGATTGATTGGGTATGTATTGAATTTCAAAATAGCTTCCTTGGAAGAAATAAGAAATTTATAGCGCGCTTCCCCTGCGAATATAATAAACTAATATCACGAACTCTCTAAGACATTACGATTTTTTCCCATACAAAATAATTAAAAACAAAACTTGAAGCCCGTTAATTATAAATTATCAAGATATACCATTCAAAGATGTTCTCTCTTATGATATGATTTGGTATTTCCAGGCTCTATTGCTACGCACAGAAACACGTAAAAAGCATCCGTGCAGTAACGAAACTGCCGGATACCTCAATGGCCAAGAGTTTTCGTGCGAAAAGTACTCGCAACAAACCACCAAAGCCGCAAACAAAAACGAAGCCGACAAGTCCTTATCATGTGTCTGATCATAAAGCCGCTATAACAGTGGGTGTAATTATGGGTGTTTTCTTAATATGCTGGGTACCCTTTTTCTGCGTAAATATCGTCGCTTCATATTGCAAGACCTGCATATCAGTCCGAGCATTCCAAGTATGAATATGTCTCTTTCTTTTCTCACAAGATATCGTTTCGAAAGAAAACAGATATGCACAGAACCGTACTCGAATGGATTTTTTAATCATTATTTTTAAAAAATGAATATCTGCTTTTTCTGCTATTTTTCATTAACTCACTAAGGACCAAAAATGCATTAAGGTAACATACGTAATATCTTTTTAGTCATTTTGAATTATTGAATCCACTTATAGTCCATATCGCAATTATGAAAAGAAATTTCAAGCATTTGCTCAATATCGTTACCGTTACTAATTTCTTCTTCAGTTTAGATCCGACAATTTTATGAAATTTAAAGAAATTCAAGTATTTTATATCACTATGGTAAACTATTTTTGTTCAGTTTCGATTTGTGTATGGACTTCTGTAATATACCTACTACTCTAATACATTTTTATAACTTAAACGAATAACTCATTTTATTTATGTTTTGTAATAATGTCTTAATTATTTCGCTACATGGTCCTTATTGGATTAAACCACGCCATCATAAAAATATTTTTCAAAAACATCTTTTATACTAATTAAAGCATTTTTAAACGACTCTTAACCTAATACAATCGAACTTCGATAACTCGTATCTCAAGCGAAGAATTAAAGAATTAAAATCTCGTAAAGGTTTTCGAATTATAGAGACTCGATCGAAGTTCGACCGTATTATGATCATAAAAAAGATGTAAAAAAGAAAACACGAAACAAAGTTTGATATGTAACAGGTACTCACTTGGCTCGGCTACAGCAACTCGGCCTTCAATCCGATCATCTACAGCATCTTTAACACAGAGTTTCGAGAAGCGTTCAAAAGAATTCTTACAAAGGGTGCGCGAGCCCGAGGAAACCAACCGTCGACTAGCGAATGCGGAGAATTTCGATCCGTGGTTGTGCAAAAACGAAACGGGTCTATGATCGAATGTAATATTAGTCCAAGATCAAGCGCGGACAGTTGTCAAGTCGGAATGATGGCGCAAAGACATCGCGATACTATCGTCAGTGCGATATAATCAGACTCGAATTTCTCCCTTCAGATTTATCGATCTTCCTATCGAACGAATATTGCGCTTCAGCGCATAAAAGCGCGCATTTCGCCTTCCTGCGCATTTCGCGAATTTAAATACAGTTAAAAGATTTTCCATCGCGGTCATTAATCCTATGTAAGTGATTTTATTAATAACACGTAACACGTTAACACGTTGACTGCCACGCGAATTTTATATATTTTGCTCTTTAAATATACTATATACTTAATTTTTATAAAATATTGTATTTGCGCATTTTGTATCTAACAGTGTTATCTAAATTATTCATATTGTTGAAAATTTGTTAGTTTCTAAAATTTATCTTATTTTAATCATTCGAAAAAATTTGGTAACATGTGTCATCGATAACCATCGTGGCAATCAACATGTTAATAAAACCATGTCGGAAATATTACATCCCTCCTGTCGTCAGTCTTGCGCGTGGCACTCTACGTTCTTGGTACGAATTTTTCGGTCGAATCGAAGAGCGTTACATGAACATATCCATATATAGTAGTTAAAAAAAGTATTTATACATACCTTTATTTTTCATTTTCATTTTCACAGTATCATTTTTTTCTTTTTCTTCTTTTTTTGTAGCCATATGAAAGTATTATTAAATGACACAAAATTTAATATATCTAAACCTAATTAATTAGTATGTAAATGCTATAATAGATACAATGGTGTACAAATACTTTTTATAGCCACTGTAATTTTTCAAGTTCCCATAATGGTAACGGGTGGAATAAAATTTACAACCATCTAGAACAGTAATCGTAACCGTCGTTGTCAACTTCAACTTTACTGTTTCATTATACAGAAAATGTATTACAAAATCTGCAAATGCTTTTCGAGATATCGAATTCGTTGACTTATCGAGTTCTCCTCGACAGATATACCACGTATTTCTCGTATCATCTGCAACAAACAACCACGTACTTTACGCATAAAATATCTCGAAATAATATAGATTTTATCGCCATGAGCAACAGTCACCAAGTAACAGTACGTTCCCTTTCTTTTCCTTTCCCCTCTCACCCCAAACAGAAAAAGGTTACATGTGGATTTTTTTTTGCTGAATATTTTTCTTTCATCCATGGTGAAAGGGGAAGAGAATTTATCGATATAAATGGACGGTTAAGAAAAAATATTTACTTAAAGACAATCACCAAAAGGTAGTTCAAAACATATCCGTGAGACATAATCTGCTCTTACACTAAAAGGAATAAACACGAATTATCAAAAAAAAAAAGATCGAACAGGAGGATATCAATTTAAAAGTAAAAAAAGAACAAAAAAAATAAGGATTAAAATTCGTGGGTAGAGAAATTCGAAACTAGTATTTAGGTAACATTCTCATAAAGCAATTGTAATTATAAAATCATGTTAATAGCGCATCTACGATGTGAAGCTGGATGTTACATTGAAGTACTAATAGTAACGTCTATCGAATCGTAGCTTATACATATTAGTACTAGGATCGCGGTGGAATCCGCACAGATTCATTTTCCATCTTGTAAATAGTCATTTATTTATTTTTCTATTTGACGGGACACCAACACGCGATCCACGTATTTTTGCATTGTAAGCGATATTTCGTTTAGGTGCTAACGTGTGGCAAAACTGTTGCGCAACCCGTCGAATCTCAAATCTGCGTCACTTATCTAAACGAAAAAAATCCTTGCAATATGCAACCGACGCTCATTGAGTCTCTTCCATCATCTATATCAGCGATTTGCAATGTGTACTGCATTCCGACAAGAAAGAGACTACAGTTAGGGTATCGTAATAAGATAAAAAAAATACAGAAATCCTACGTTTTTTCTGTCGGAATGATACGTGCACGAAGTCGATGTATACTAATGATATATCTGAATGATCGTTCTCTGTAAATATATTAACGTAAGACTTCCACGCGAATATTAAATTTGCAACATTTTATTACATCCTTATCATCCTATCTGTTTATTAATAACTCAAATATTCAATGTTTCTCAATTTTTTATTTTTTTAAAAAATAATATATTCTGCGTCAAAACGTGTCTTGTTTCATTCGAAGCATTTGTTAAGTGAATCGGTTTTGTATCTTCCCAAGTACGATTGCTTTTTGAAACTTGAAGAACATCAAGAAGATTAGAAGCTAACTTTGGTATAATGGGATACAATACTAAAGCAGCTACTCGTAGATTTTCCAAAGCTAAAGAGATCACAGCTTCAACTTGTTTTACAGAATCGGAATCTTTGGCTTTGCTTAATTCCCATGGCCGATGATGGTGAAACATTTGATTAGCAATGTGCAACATATTCATCACAATATCCACTGTGCAATACAAATTATATTTCTCATAATATTCCTTAGCTTTTTCACTTAATTCTTCCAAAGCTACTACATTTTTATGAGCTATCTTGGATTTTAAAATGTTTATATATTCGGCAGAGTTATATATTATTCCGTCTGGATTAATACTTTTACCAAAACAACGATTAAATAAATTACCTAGTGTATCAGCTAGCTCAGAATTTAGTACATTCTGAATTTTTAAATTGTTATAATCTACAAGGAAGAAATAAGATATTAGAAAATAAAGAAAGGGCAATATTTGGAACACATACCACACATTCTTTGTCTTACTTGCATCTGTGTGCAGCACTGCATGTCGTAAGAGAAAATATCTTAGACCATCTTGTGTAAAATTATGCATTGCTTCAAAAGGTGATATTACATTTTCTTTGGATTTTGACATCTTTTTATCTTTAACAGTCCAATGTCCATGACATATAAGTTTTTTTGGTAATTCAAGACCAGCAGCCATTAAAAATGCTGGCCAATATATACCATGAAATTTCAATATATCCTTTCCTATAACCTAATTTAGAAATATTTGTAGATTTGTATAGTGACATTCTCAAATTAGAACGAAATAAAGACATTTACTTGTACAGTTGGTGGCCAAAATTTTCTAAATGAATCATCTGGATATCCCACTGAAGTTAAATAATTGACTAATGCATCCAGCCATACATATACTGTATGAGATTCATCAGAAGGAGTAGGAATTGCCCAAGACACTCTCTTGATAGGTCTAGAAATGCTTAAGTCTTGTAAATTGTCTATCCATGGAATCAAGCTCGTGTGATATATTTCCGGTTCTATTACATTTGCTAAATATAATTTCAACCATTAAAACTGCAATTTCTTTTAATCAAACCAAATTTGTTAAATCGAATTGTATATATACCATTTTTCAACCAATGTTTTAATTCATTTTTAAAAGAAGACAATCGAAATTTATAACACTCTTCCTCCATCCATTCTAACACATCTCCTGATTCTGTATATGCTTCATTAATATTTGCAGGATTCTTTTTTACTACATCTTTATCTGGGACAAATGCTTCTTCTGATACATTATACCAACCAGAATATTTTCCTTGATAAATATATCCATTTTTTTCTAAACGATTCTGCAAAATTTTATCTTCATGTATTTCTCTATCCATTCTTATTGATTAACACTCTATAAGTTTAACTACCCAAAAGTCAAGAACTGCTTTTTGATGTCGTTCTTCAGTTGTTCTAATAAACTTTGAATATTCAACATCAAACACATCACACATTTCTTGAAATTGACGTGAAACCCGAGTACAATATTCAGGAATAGGTAAAGTCACATTACTTGCAGCTTTTTGAACTTTCATGCCATGTTCATCTGTACCTGTACATAAAAACACAGAATGTCCTAGCATAGCATTGAATCTAGCTATGGTATCTGCCAAAACTGCTGTATAAAGATGTCCTATATGTGGTCCTAAGGAAAAGTAACAAATCAATGTTTTAATATTGACTGTCATAATGTATATTTCTATGCATTTATAAAACAAATTCTTCTATGTTTATAATAACATACCAGCATTAACATAAAATATAGGTGTAGTAATATATATGCTTTTCATTGCATGATCACTAAAATTCCTTTTTTTAACATAATTCCATGGTTGTGTTCTTGTCATTACGAATGGAAACATCCATGAAGACTGAATATGACAAGATCTTGACAGATGGACTGTAACTAAAATTAAAATCAATGTATATTAGAACTATTCAAAACAATGCAAATGCATAAGATATAAAACATCTGAAAATCAAGTGTAGTAATTGTAGTTGATAAATAACTCAATACAAATATTTTACTTCATCATTTATTTTCAGAGCACTATATACAAATTCTGTATATCCACGGTATCAAATAAAATATAATTACAATAAATTTTATATGCAAATATTCAATTATTGTAATTCCAATTGTATTGATTCTAACTGTGCTACAAGATCCATATACTTAAATTCATCAGGCTTATTAGTAAAAGTTTCCAATAGTTGTAATCTTTTTGTATTATCTGTACAATAATATAATTGTAATTCATTCACTAAACACTGTGCTTCTTGCACGTTAATGCATTTTTTATCAAATTCGCCGCGCATAAGAATAATTCCTTTATCATCTCTTAATTCTGTATAATGAACCAAAGTTAGACATTCTGGTGCATTCTCTTTATGCGCTTGATACCACAAAAGTGGTGTCATATGGATCTCTAATCCATAGAATTGACTAACAATAAACTCATATCCTTGTTTCCTAGGTAATGGCAACAAAAATGTTGTATGATGCTTTCCACGTTCGAACATTTTATCAAATTGCTCTGGTGTTAATATACCACATATGTAATCTTTATCTTTATGATAATCTTTCCAAATTTTTACAATCTCATCCTTTGATTTATCCTGAATCATATCAACTTTCATTATGGTATTTAAATGAGCTTGCTCAGGTTGCTTGTTCTGTTTCAAATATGGTTTTGCTTGACTTTGATAATACTTATACTCGTCTTCCTGTTTCTCTTTAATTTAACAATTTATATATATCAAAGAAAGCAACATATAATACTTACTTATGAATAATTATTAAAAAGTAAAAACAATTAAGTAGTATGTTGTTATATCACTCACATATTTTTTCTATATTTTTATATTTTCTATATTTAAATAATAATAAACGAATAACATATATATATAATTAAAAAAAATATATCGATTTTCATTTGATAGATTAATAATAACAAATATTATGTATTTGCAAAATATTATATAGGTTATTATACCTTTCCTTCCTTGAATCTTCTTTTCTTCATTTTCGACACGCTGTAAGAACTCATCTGGGCTGGTTTGTTGAAATTTCGCTATTTTATTAGCATATTTTTCAAAAAAAGGATTTTTTTCAAGTCTTTCTAAAACTTTTTCAAGCTTTGTACAAGTTGTCATAATGTATCTCTTATTGCAATTGTTTGTACAAAAAAAAACGTTTTTCATAGATATTAATATTGGTAGTCGTATTGCTTGTGAAGAAATTGCCATGAATCATTCAATATTTGTTAGTTATTAATTCAACAATGTAAACGTAAAAAAGTTTTCGTTACACGTTTATCTTACTATATATACATATATAGCATACATCTTAGATGTCGCTCAGTACTTTACAAAATTTGGAGTATTTTGGGCTGAATACTATCAAAATCATAAACAGAAAAGTGCTTGTAACATTTTCTAATCAAATTTTCATTCAATTTAAAGCAAACTATAAATAAGAAATGCAAAACGCATTTCGTATCAATTTCTAATAAGTAGCACAAGGTTCCGGTACGATCAGTAATGTATCTATGTATATACGAATATACATCCTTAAAAAAGTAATGGTACTTTTGACCTATATTGCTCTGAAGTACATTATATGTGTGTACAACAAAAATTACAAATATTGTTAACAATACTATATATATTTTTTACAAATTTCAAAATTCCTACTTCTATATTACCTGTTTCACAAAAAAATTATCTAAGAGTGTAATTACATACTCTTAAAAATAAATATTACAAAAGTATGCCAATATCAAGTAGAAAGAACCAAATCTTTTTAAATCGTTTAATTTACTCGTTTTACTTGTATTATTTCTCATATAAGGTAAAATATATAAAACTATCGAAAAAAATATGAAAATATAAAATATTCTTGCTTGTTCTTTCTTAGTTTTCATTTATCTTGCCAATGAATATCTTTTTCTTTAAATGCTAAATAACTGTGACAGAAAGAAAAATGTGACTCGGGAGAAAAAGTTCCATTTTAATAACACATGTTTCGACTTATATAGACGTCACTGTAAGAGACGGTGTTCATTCGAGGAATCGCAATCAGATTGATACAGACCTGGCGAAAATCTAGTACCGCGAATTCAAGCGAGTCATTTTGCACGATTAAATTTTGAGACAGTGGTAAACTCGTAGCTGAGCCGAACGAAATTTTTCTCGTAATTAAAATAGAAAGTTTCCGGATGGTTCGATCGAAAAGATAGTGTGGTTAATTAATAGCAATTCGTTGATAAGGACTCTGACTTGAACGCCGCCCGTCGTGACGCATCGTTTCCGCAACGTCAGTTGCTCTCGTGCTTCTAGCGAAAGGGAAAATGTCGGCGTATTAGTGGGGTTTTGTTGTGCCACTAGAGAGTGACTTTTGGGCTACCTGAGCAGATTTTTATCGAAGAAAATCGTCGATCGTTACGACTTTGGGAATAGTCAACATCGTCGAGTTTGCCAGTAAATGGCGTATAAGTCCTATCGGGTACGCTTAGTACTTTAAATCAGGTTCGAGTCCGACGTGAGCCAGTCGTAGAAGTCCGCCGTCGGTTCTAGCGGAGGAAGGATAGAAATAGGGAAGCCAGGAGCAATATGTCGATGCAGTTGGCAATGTCAGTAGCAAAGAATGAGTTTATCGTGGGTAGCAAATACAGGCTGTTGAGAAAGATTGGCTCGGGATCCTTTGGCGACATTTACCTCGGTATCAACATCTCTAATGGTGAGGTAAGGAGTACCGTTTCACGTGAGACGACCTGCCAGCACATCTTCCACTCCTTGTCTTACTTCTTTTCTTTTTTAATTTTTCATTCCGTTCGTAACAAGTTATTCAACTATAAATCTGTATCGTGACAGAAATTTCTCCTTATGATACTAAACGTTATTAAACTTCTTACGAAATATGTTTTTTTTATGATATTGTTATTGGTTACATGAAATATCCATTGTTTTCCCTTGGAGAATTTGCAACTTATAAACTTTCCGTTTCGGTAAAGTTATGTCTATTTAATCGACATACAGAATTACAATTTTTCAAAATTTCATGGCGTTTATTTAATTGTAAACGATCATCCAACTTTTTGCAATGTGATTGACCTCTATATGTAAAAAAGAACAGTATATTTATTGTTTATGTGTGTAAATCGTAAGACAATGTTTGTTACTAAAATACATATATCTGTAATGTTTGTCATAAATTAGATAGTACAAAGTACCAAATAAGCGTTTAAAAATTGCTCCTATATTGTTAAAATTCTTTTCTGCAGAAAATAAAGTTTACATCTAAAACCTGTTTTTATCATATTTATACTGTTTTATTCTTTGTGTTTATGCGAAATTGTTTTCAATAAATTGTATCCTATAGCATATTACATTTCCTACTTTACATAAAAGTTTTTGTTATTATATTTTTTGCTTATGAATATTGTGTGTCATCGAATTACATTTTATTTGTCAAACAATTGTTTTTGGAAATAAAAATGATACTGAATTAATTAATAAGATGTAATAGTGATTTCATTATTGATATACGACGACAAGTGTTAAATATTTAACATATAACATATAACAATTATTTTTATATTAAATACAGATTGGTTATATGTATATGTGTGCAAATTTTAATACAATATTGAAATAATAAATATAATAAAAAAATATTTAAAGAGTGCTAAATGAGAGTAATTATATATGCCATGCAATAATTATATAAATAGTATGAATTTAATCGGTAATATGTGACTTATAAACAAAAAAAAACATTTTATATAAAGACAATGTATAGAAGACAACATATTATAAACCTGGAATAGTTTATGTACAAATTATATTAGCTTGTTTCAATAATATAATATAATACATAATAGGTATTAATTATGTATTATTCTAGGAAGTTGCTGTTAAGTTGGAAAGTATACGTGCTCGACATCCTCAACTCTTATATGAGTCAAAGCTATATAAAATTTTGCATGGTGGTATAGGAATACCTCATATACGTTGGTAACTATTACCTTTAACAGCTTTTTTTATTTGTCAAGAGATATCTAACATGTTATAGATATTGTTATCTAGTATGTAATTAATTTATAAAATAGACAATTAAGTTTGTTTTTTGAATAAAAATACAATTTTACTGTTGTTTTCTTATTAAATGTAGGTATGGACAAGAACGAGAGTATAATGTACTTGTCATGGACCTCCTTGGTCCATCTCTTGAAGACCTTTTCACCTTTTGTACTAGAAGATTCACAATAAAAACAGTCTTAATGTTAGCAGATCAAATGATTGGTAGGATTGAATATGTTCATTGCAAACATTTTATTCATAGAGACATCAAACCAGATAACTTTTTAATGGGTATTGGCCGTCACTGTAATAAGGTATATTTTAATAATGTTAAATCATAACACAATCTATAATGTAGATTGTATAATAATTTTCATTGTAATATCATGGTAATTGTTTCTAAACTTTTAGCTCTTTCTTATTGATTTTGGATTAGCTAAAAAATATAGAGATAGTCGTACAAGACTGCATATAATGTATCGAGAGGATAAAAATTTAACAGGCACAGCAAGGTATGCTTCGATTAATGCACATCTTGGAATAGAACAGAGCCGCCGTGATGATATGGAATCACTTGGTTATGTGCTTATGTATTTCAATCGCGGATCTCTTCCTTGGCAAGGACTTAAAGCTGCTACCAAAAAGCAGAAATATGAGAAAATAAGTGAAAAGAAAATGTCCACGCCTGTGGAAGTTTTATGTAAGGTAAGTTTAATATGTTTATGAACTTATAAATTTTCTATTAAAACTAGAATACGTTGTATTATTTAGAAAGAAATTTATTTATTTATTTTTTTTAATCAGGGATTTCCTGCTGAATTTGCGATGTATTTAAATTATACACGAGGTCTACGTTTCGAAGAAAGTCCAGATTATATGTATCTTCGCCAACTTTTCCGTATACTTTTCCGTACATTGAATCACCAATATGATTATACTTTTGATTGGACAATGTTGAAGCAAAAGAATTGTCTCCCTACTTTAACAACTGGAGGTGGTCCAGGTCAATCCGCACCAAATGCTCAGGGGCAAGGACAAGCCCAAGCTCAGCCACCAGCTCAGACCAACGCTCAACCAGGTACTTTTTGCTATATCATCAATTATACTGCATATTACATCATCTTTAGTTTCTATACATATATTAAAAAAAGCAACTCCATGTTATAATAGCGACATAATAATTTATACAAATATTTTCTATAACGTATAATCAAGAGCATAATGAGAATTGACTATCGTTTTTCGTTTTAATCTCTCTTATTATTACAAAATTTGATATACAAATCATTATTGGCATTAATATTCCGTTTCGCTAGTATTAATTGTCATTTGGTATATTATTCTTCATTTATATAACGTACAATGTATTTTTTGTTTCAGAAAGGATAAAACTATAATTCCTTGTCATTGCATCAATCCTATTTGCAGTTATTGAAGTGTCCACGACCAGGTACTCAACTTTGTATGAATGCCATGCAAAGAGTCAAATCAATCAATCCTCTAAGTTTGCATTAAGGAGGAGATTTATGGTTACAAGCGTATCGTACACGAGTAAAGGACAATGCCACGAGTACACGTTTGTGAATTCGCTAATTAGTGAAAACTTCAATGTATTCTCAGTGCTTAGAGTTTTGGTTGATCCACCTCTTTGTGCTTAAAATCCAAGTGAAATCAGCCAGAGGTGGCTTGTTCTTATTTTGTTATTACCTATTTAATTCACCGTTGATAATAATTGAAATAAAGGTTTTGATGCCCCGAAGACCTTTGTAAAAGATTACACGTAAAGGTGTAATGTGTGATTTAATCGAAAATCCGACAAACAATTTTCATAGAAAGAAAGAGAGGATGCGGTTTTGACTACTCTTAAGCATTCGGGGTAATTAATTGAGTACATCGTATAAAATTTTATATCTATTCTACAAATAGAAACACAAACGTGAGGACGAGTGAATGATTATGCGAGAGTATGAAGGAAATATATGTGTACTGAGAGATAAATACAGTTTGTTGCTTCCTGATTTTTGTTTTATTCTCAGTACAATATAATATAAATATAACGTGTGCAACTTCGAGAGAAATGTTAATATTTTTCTTACATAAATTATCATGTCAATGGTATCAAAGATTTTTCTTTGATACTATTGACACTGTGGTAACACTTTTTTTCTATATGAGTATATATGTATACATACATAAATATGTATATATATACACACACAACATAGACATAAACACATACATGCGTATGTACGAGTAAGTGGAAGTATCTTTGAAGTAAATACTGGAAGTAATATTACTATTAAGGCAGCAATTTAATTTCTAGATACGTTGTATCGATCAAGAAACGAACAAATTATTAGCTACTCTGACCTAATAAACTTCACTCTTTACTCTCTTTCTTTCTGTGAGTACATTTAGTCGATCATGATAAATAAAAGGAATATTAAGCAGATTTCTCTGTATTGGAGATGGATTACAGATTGCTTTACATTTGAAGAAAAGAATATATACAAATAGTACATAAAATGTATGGAATGCATAAGATGCATGGAAAGCAACTCTGTAACCAGTTCCAGCCAAAGGACTTCCTTCATATAGTTTTAATGGCAGAGACTGTGCAGTAGTATTTCCCGCGCTATTGCTTCGATATTAAGTTTATGTTACGTGACTTGCGAGATCTTTAACCGATCGGGCAGTTGGTTGTTAATATGCATAATGAAATCTCGCACACGAAGTCACGTTAAACAGTAGAAGTTTTAAAAAAATTTGTTTCTGTCATTGAAAATTTTTGTTTACATCAACCATTCTAGTTGCGTCAATATTCACGTCTATGTTCCAAGCACTACTTCCAAAATGATATATAATCAATAATGTTAACTCATGTCCTTACTACAAAAATATTCTTAAAAAATAAAAAAAATAATAAAAAAATGTCCAGTCAACGTTAGTACGAACCAAGATACAAGGGATAATACGACTGGATCCTGTGTACTGTTATATTTTGGAAGGACAATTTGTTTGATGAAGTTTTTAGACAGTAATAAAAAGAAAAGAGATATAATCATTAAATATCTTTGAGTGAATGTATGGTTTATTATTATTATTAATATTATTATTTTTATTATTTTAATATTATTACTATTATGAGAAACAAAATTAATGAATAAAAGTGTGTACTACTATGCAGCGAGAATGAATGAACGAGTAAGTTAATGAATAATTAATGATATAAGCACTTATTACTATCTGGTATGTATGTATGTATATATAGGATGTCCCGTGAGGTATTCAACAAATTTTTCCCACGTGTTCAGCAAATCATTCTGAATAAAAAAAATGTCATATACTCTATAGATCTATTTAATTTCGTTATCCATCAAAAATAATACATTGGATGAATAGTAAAAGAACAATTCAGTTACGTTTTTTACATAGGCAATCTTCAAATCATGTATGTGATGCTAATCGTTATTTTTAATGAACTTACCACCATATTTATACTATAACAGAGTTCTTATAAAATATAATAGTTATATAACAAGATAAATAAACGAAATGTTGATTGCTATTGATAACTTGTGTACTCATAAGAGTGAATTTATACATTCTACTTAATGTTGTATGCTAATTTTAATGATACTAATATTTCTTATTTTCTATATTTTAATCGTGAAGAAAAGGGTGGTACTTCAAAAATCTTGTATATATGTTTTTAATATATATACAATATATATATATACAATAAATAAATAAATAAGTATATATATATATATGTATGTGCGTGTGCGTATGTGTGTGTGTGTGCGCGGGCGCGCGCGTGTGTATATTCTTTTCTATTAATATTATAGTAGTAAAAAAACAAGATAAAATTTGTATATGAATTTGAGATCAATATAATCTACATCTTACAGATTGGAAATAAGGAACTGAACCATTATACTTGAAACAAAACTAAACATTTATCGATGATTACGAAACAAAATAAACCTATAATGTGACGACCTATAATGTATATTCTTTTTATTCTTAATGACGTAGCAAATACGTAAGAAAAGTTTGTTAAATACCTCACAAGATATTCTGTATACAGATAATGCTTTATATATGTGCATACATACATACATGTGTGTATGTATAATAAAATTATGACAGTAATTAAGATATACGTTATTTCATAAATAATGAAAATCATCAACAGTTTATTGCTCCTTTTATCGCTATAAATAAAAAGTGGAACATTGTATTATAGTCTCTATTTCATTAAGTGTCAATTTTGATGGCAATACACGATTATCGTTATCCAGAATGGTAGTAACATGTTGTTCAAAATGAACGATATACTTGCTCCCGAGAACTGTGTTGCGATATTCTTGTCACATGGGATATGTAAAGGATATTTATGTAAATATTTTTAAGTCATATATTTGACAAATCTCAAAAGATATTACACAGAAGCCACAGAGGCGCGTAACTTTATCATTTAAATTGTTAATAGTAATAATATTTGAGTTTATAAGGTAACAAAATGTGCTGCAGACTATCAGCTACAATGCACCGGTCATCGTGCTGTAGTCAATTCGAAAATAAATAAAAATCGCACGCTCCAAAATTATGTTATCGCTAGATTCAATCCGTTCCTTTCATCGGATATAAAAAGTCAATTATTCGTTCTTTTGTACATATAAAATAGATTAACTATGTGTATAAATATAACAGAACATCATTGGCTACCACAACTTATGCGTAAGTGACCAAAAGGCAAATACTATAAAATTAATATTTTACAAATTTATTGCACTTACCACTGCTTTTGTGGTAGCATATTTTTCCACATTAATATGTTATATTAAGAATTAACAAATGAAAATTAATAGCACAGCAAAGTATGAATTTTCCTAAGTTCCTGCGTTCCTACGTTAACAGTAAAAACTTGTTCTTGACCTTGATGAGGAATAGCGATTTCGGCAGCAAGCAATTGACTTTCATGCATTGCTGCAGTCATTTCACGATTTGGGAATACTGCGAAATTAGCTTCAGCCATTCCACCTACTGTTCTTTGTATAACTTCTTCAAGAACTTCATTCTACAAGAAAAACACAAAAGTTTTAATTTTGATTTACAAACAACTATAATACTGTATATTTATAATTTTCTACTGATTAATGACTTACGATCAATTGATCAGTTCGATCTTTTAACTCTTTCATGACTATTTCTCGTTGTAACAATTGATAAACTGGCATTGCCTTTTCTAACACTGGGCCCTCCATATCACGTGCCTTATTACGTCTTAAATCAGGAACGATAGGGAATGTCATGACTTGTTTAATATCCTGGAAAACAAGACAAAAATGTTGATTAAAATTAAATAAATATAAAATAATATTTTTTGAATCTTTCATTTATATAATAATTGTTTTGTAAGTTACTTTAGTAAGATCATTAGTTTTTTGTTTTAATTCCTGTATTTTAGCATTAATTGATCCCTGTCTTAATGGAAGAGGAGTTATTGGATCCAAGCTTTCTAACTTTTGACGTAATATATCAGACATTAATTTCTTTCTTTGTTGGTTTTCACTATTTAATGCTTCTTTAAGAGCAGTTATCTCTTGCATTAAGAACTTATTGTCCATTGATTGCATTCCAGATGCTGCTGTAACGCTTCCAGACATATTGTCTGCTCCAGATGCAGACATCATCGTCTTCTTTCCAACAGATTTTAATTTTTCCTTTAACTGGCCTCTCTCCATTTCCAAACTATCAATATCTGTCTGAAGGTGATCCATCGTTTCCTCAAATTCTTTTTCCTTTCGTTTCAATTGATTCATTGCTTCTTCCAATTTTCTCTTCAACTTTTCTACATTCAATTCATGTTCATGTTGTTGAGTTGCAAGTTTTTTCTCTACAACATCTTTTCTCAAAATCATTTCACATAATTCTTCTTGTTTTTCCCTAAGAGCTAATCTCGCTTCAAGTATATCACTATCTCTTGCTTCTAATTTCCTACTAAGTATCTTAATTTCTTCAGCTTCTTTCTTTGCTGCTTGTGCTCTTACTTTGATAGGCTGTAAAGATTCACTTTCCGCATTTTGTTCTCGTTGCTGTGATAACTGTCCACTTATTGCTAATTCGTTTTCACACTCTGCCATTTTTTGTGCGAAATTGGCCGCTAACTGTTGGATACTTGATAAACTTCCTTTAATCGTAGCTACAGGTCCAACATCTTCCGTATCATAAACTTTTTCGCATGCTATAGAAGCCATCTCCTTCAATTTATCTGCACCAAGTCCTGTATCTAAGTCGCCATTGGTAATAATTGCTTGCACAGCACTCTTCAGCAAAATCTGTAATGTTTTCATCATCTTCACAGCATGTTGGTAACACGTAAAAAGTTGTTCACTACAGTCTTTATCCAATCCTAAATTAGATTCTGCATTATGAATTGCAGCAGCATGATCTGTCAATACTCGTCTTCTAGCTGACTTTAGGTGTTGTTGAATTACTTCACACGTTGTCTCCGCATGCTGACAAAGGAGGCCTAAATCACCACTGTCTCCCTGAATCAAAGTTTTGATTGCCGCAGCATCAGTCATAATAGCTTCACAAGAACTGTCCAACATCCTCGTACCATTAACTACCAAACGAGCTTGGTTGATGGTTTCTCCAAATAACACAGAAAACATAGTACAAAAATAACCACAACATTTCTCGATAGCATCCATTGGTAGATTCTCGTCTAATTGATCTTTTTTAGCTAGTTCTATCAAGGAATCCAAAGATTTTTCCTGCGCTGCCATTTCTGGATAAACTGCTCCAGCCTTAAGTAACATTTCAGGACTACATACATTTAATGCAGATTCAAAACAACCAAGGAACGTTTGTAATGCATACATGTATGAACAAAGACGTGATCTGAAGGTATATTGTGCTACCGAATGACCCTTTAAGATAGCTGTTCTATCTACTTTATCCAATGATCTATATTTTTCTCGTACTTGTGACATAAGTATCTCGGTTTTTTGTATCATCCTTGGTATAAGTAAAAGTGTTAGAATAGCATCGTGATCACCGCCACGTGCTAAGAATGCAGGAGACATGAAAGATAATAAATATTTCACATGATTTCGAGCTTCTTCGGCTTCCAATCGTCGTAATTCAAGATCAACAGCTTTTGTTTGAGCACGGGTCTCAGCAAAGGTTTTTTGGAAATCTAAAATTTCTGCTAATTGTTGCTCTGCGCCCCCCATTCCAAATTTAGAGGTTTCAGTTGATTGCACACGTTGTTGTAATTGCAAACATTGATCTTGTAATTGATGAGTGAGTTCGCGGAACTTTGTAATTGTAAGTTCACGGTCCGTTAATGTTTCCAAAGCCGCATCTCGATGTCGATAAGCATCGCGCGCTGCTCCAAGCGCTAAATCCAATTCTTCTCGCAATTCTAGTTCTAATTCTTTCGATGATTCAGCAAGTTGATCAGACATATCCTAAACAAAAGGATAATTATTTAAGCAACAATTTTTTGAATAATGTTTATAAAAGACTTTACGTACTTGTAAGGCTTCCAAATCTGCAACGGCTTCTTCCAATTCTGCAACTTTCTCTTCTAATGCCATCTTTTTCTCACCAAGTACTTCAACCATTTCTTCAGCACCTAATGCTGCATCAACCTATTTGATGAAGGAACAAATTTATATATATGCCGAGTTATCATTAAGGTTAGAGGCGTGTAACGAATCTTCACTCGAATTAGCCATCGTTATTATACAATAGAGATAATGTTTATTGGTACAAGTATGATTATTACAGAATTCGACAAGTAATCGCGGTGATTGGATACTCGAGATACTAATATGACAATGATCTTAGCTTCGATAGCGAATCCACGGTCAACAGGGTAGCAAATGTGCTTTCTTCCAAAGTTTAAGAAGTACTCGACTTACTTGTCCACAGTACAAGTATTACTCAATTAACTCTTTGTTAAAACGTAGAGTATTCACTGATCGTAAAGATGCTGCGTAACTCACTGATGAGATCGTACGCGAATGACTTTCTGTCACGATGATGCTGCAGAGGAAAACTATGATGAGGTGTGTCCGAGGATACGAGATCATCGGATTCATCGAGGAAAGCCTTCGTTCAGGAAGTGAGAGAAATGGACGTTGCTGTTAATTGGTTAATTTCTATGTTGGTGGTTGAAGAAGGATGCTAACCGCCCTTGAGAGAAAGTTGCTAGCGGGAAGCGTCGTTTGTGAGAAAAGCAGATTTCCCGTATCTTCCCGTAGTAGGTGATATATTTAGGGACTGTTAGGACAAAGACTATTTGTCCGTTTGAAGAATCTTAGCTAACTAAATCCTAAGATTTATAGCGGGCCCTTAGGCTAGCTGGAAATATACTGTGAAGATGTATCGACATCTGGCAATTATCTTATTCGAAGGATAGGGTCTTCGTGTGGCGAGCCATGGGACAGAAACCGTTGGAAAGTTTACTGTCGAGTGCCGCTACATCTATTTTTAAGGGGAGCTATACAATTACTCCATACCTCTGTTAGGTACAACGTTCATCCCGTGACCGCGGCTACGTTTAGCGACTAGTTGTGTCACTTCGAGGCCAAACTCATTGTCACAAATCTCGGGCAAACATAATCGAATTAAATCATAAACAATTACTTAAGTACAGCTATGATAAAAAGTCTAGACTAAAGTATTGGGGATTTTCCTTAGAATTCCAAAGAAAAGGCCCCGATGTCCTTTCATCTCCGACATATATATTGTGGTATCGAGGAAAAACCATTAGGAAAATCCCGATGAACTACAGATGGAAAACAGTAGAAGTTCTGACAGGCCGGGAAGGATAGGAAATTAATTAACCCTTTGCGGACGGGACGGTTCAAAGTCAACCGTACCGTGGGACCGAGATGTTGTCGCGATAGTCATTTAAAATTGCCATGCACATTTCTGCTTAGGCGCACTTTTCGTTCATGGATGTTAAATTCTAGACATATGTACATGCACGGATTCTCCACAGGATAAATAAAATGATACACATATGAGTCTTCGGTTCTATCAATTGTTTTTACCAAACGCATATATGAGTTCCTCAGCCAAATTGATGGCTTACGCAGAACGCATATATGCGGCGGTAGTTCGCAAAGAGTTAAAACAGGTGTACTTGACCATCTTGGATCATCCACATCTGTGGAACACATGTGCGTCAGGTATAAAAAAGATGTCTTGGTGGGGAGA